GAAACAATTTCCCCAAAAAKAAAGTTCCCAATAAAAWATTAYTCAAATATTMCTGRAAAATATGGAAAATATTTTATTTTCTAACTATTTATTGTTAGTAAGAGAAACAAAAATTATATTAAAATAAATAGTATAAATTGTTAAAAAAAATTAATTAATTTCAATTAAATATATAACTTATTGATACTATTTATCAATACCACACTCAAAATACAGGTTAATATAATATTTGATTTTCAATATTTGATTTTCAATAGTTAATAAGGATTTTTTTTTTGGAAAATAAAACATGGGTTGGAATATATTATTAATAATATTAATATAATACTATTATAGTGTTATTTTGCATAAATGTTGTATTAATTTAAACAAACAAACAAACAAAAATAAAAAATAAAATATTTTTAAAGATATATAYACTACTGTAGTATATATATATATTGTAGTATTATTAATCCATTTCCATAATTTTGAGAAACAGTGCAGATAACATTGATAATATCTGTGATAAAAATTAAATTAATCAATTTAAATTATTAAAAATATATACAATTTATTAATATTTTTAATATTTTTAATATAATAATAATAATAATCATACTTCATAACTACGAAAATAATTGATGGTAAAAAAGTGCCAACAGGTGAARCCTACTTTTTTRGTGGCCGTCCTCTCAATCATTGAGATAATCTATAGACAAAATAATAATAATAATATTAATAATAATATTAATAATAATATTAATAATAATATTAATAATAATATTAATAATAATATAATAATATTAATAATAAATTAATAATAATATAATAATTATTAATTAATAATTATATAATTCTAATAATTACTAATAATAATATTAATAATAATATTAATAATAATATTAATAATAATATTAATAATAATATTAATAACTAATAAAAATATAATTTATATATATATATTTAGTTTAATTTATATATATATATATATATATATATATATACAAATATTACTTGAATTTTGTGTCCAATACTAATCTGCCGGTTATTTCTAGCCATAAACATGTTTAACAATTTATAGGATTTGTTAGCATTATAGTTAACCGATGCACAGGTAAATATGACAAACAGGAATGCCTGTCCCCAAACCATACAGACATAGGTTAAGATAATTTTTGACATAATATTAGCCACTTTGAACAAACCGTAAACCAATAGCTGAGTTATAGCCGATCCAAATGTAATACAAAACATACCCAAAAATTTTGAATAATAACACCGATCGTAGTCTTTAATCTCCAAATAAATATCAGTCAATTCATTCAATTCATTAGTAATGTTAATAAATTGTTTATTATTATTATTATTATTATTATTATGTTTTTTATTAATTTTATTATTATTAACTATAKCTTTAGCTAACATTTTTTGTTCAATCGATTCATTTATKGCYAAAATTTTCATTATTAAATAACTGCATARAAAYTTTAGATAAATAACCTGGAACATTACTTGATTCCAGTAATTGTTAACCCATTGGGCAAACAGTATGGCATTTGGTATACCATAGACTAGTATATCCCTAAGCGATAGTTTCAGACTATAGCTTAGCATAACAAATGCAAATGCTATGAATGATATACAGTAGTCGTTATTGAATTTAGCAAACGTACAGACCTTACGGTGTCTACTAATCAATCGGACAATTTGCCGATAATCTGTTAGACCAACACTACGGGGTGTCCGAAAACCGGCCATCATTTGAAATACATGCAAATAGATGGGTCTAATACCCCGTCGATAGTTTAGATAATGCATTAGTATTGTTATACAGGCCTGGGTAGTGGTTATTACGTAAAATATATCCGATATTATATGTATATCTAGAAAATAGCCGGAATCGCCTAATATGGCAAACAATATGATATTTTGTTTATCACTAAATATACAGACAATACTTTTGACTAGAAATATGCTAAACATTGTGAATATAAACAACGGATGATGAATCCATTTGCGTGGATAGGGTTGATGGACACCACTGTCAGTGTCGTCAAACAGGCTCAACCCTATCCGATAGAGATGACCGGCTGCCAGTGGATAGACTATATCGCCCGATAGTAAATCATCAGGGTCAAATTGTTGTTGTTGTTGTTGTTGATCTAGTCTATGAGTTAGCATTTGTTGTTGTTGTTGTTTTGATAACCTTAATATATATGAATACAAATTAATTTAAAATGAAAAAAAAGTTAAAAATAATTAAATAAAAATATTTCTATAAAATAAAATAATAATAATTAAAGATTTAATAGATGTAATCTGTTTAAAGAATATGTATAGTTCAAGATATATACAGTATATATATATATATATATTTAAATCTAAATTTTTTAAAATAAAATATTTAGAAAATTCTACAAAATAAAAATATTTTATATTTAAAGTTTATAATATATAAAAATTTTATCATTTTATACAGTATATATATATATATATATATATATATATATATATATATATATATTATTTAAACATATTCTAAGGTTTATTTTTATAATAATAACAATTATATAAATAATATTATTTTTAATATTAGCTTTTAGATTAAATCATTTGAAAAAAAATATAAAATAAAATTACATATTAATGGTAGTTATAATAATATTGACTGCTAGTTATCAATTTAATTATATAAAAAATACATTAGTAAACTATCTTAAATTACATTAGATTAATTAACAACAACAAAAATCAAATTATTAGAAATAATGATATTATTATTATTATTAATATTAATATATTTTATTAATGATATAGTTTGTTTAATTAATGTAATAAAATATATTTTATATTTATTAATTGCGTGATAGTATTATATTAATAATGTGTATCAAATTTTGTTAATATTAATATATATATATATATATATATATAGTGAATAACTGCAATTATTGTAATAAAATTAAAATTTTTCCATTAAATTTAAATTGATAATTTTTTTTTAAATTTATTATTATGCATTATAATAATTTTAGTTTATCACTGGTCAAACTTAATTAGTCTAATAAAAATTTATTGTTTAGTTAATTATAAAGTTAAAGCTAATAAAAATATATAATTGACAGGTATTTAAACAAAATAATTTATATTATATGCCATTATTTAATTTTGCTTTTTTTTTAAAACAAACTAATAATTTATTTTCTGTATTATTATAATAATAATTTAATCGTATGCTATTGTGCTTTCCTGTTATGGGCAATGTTATAGAAAAATATTTATTTTTTTTAAAAAAATAATTTAAATTCTAACAAAAAATTTTATAAAATAAATTATATACAGATTTTGGACAAACAGTTTGGCATTTGATATGCCATAGACTAGTGTATCCCTAAATAAAAGATAAAATTTCAATAATAATAATAATAATAATAATAATAATAATAATAATAATAATAATAATAATAATAATAATAATAATAATAATAATAATAATAATAATAATAATAATAATAATAATAATAATAATACCTTGTAAATTATAACTTTTTAAAAAAAAAATTGTTGTCTAATTTAATGTACTAAATTATTTTTAAATAATATAACTATTATTATTATTATTTATACACTTTTTATATACTCTTTAAAAAATATTAGCAGAAATATTGTAAATTAAACATACAGTATAAAACAAATACATTAAAAAACCATGATAGGTATTATACAATAGTTATTATTATTATTATTATTTGTAATTATATTTTATTGTCTATAGTTTTAATATTGAATAAATAATATATTTTAGACAAAAATATTGACATATTTTTATTGTTGTTGTTGTTTTGTAGTTTCAAATTAAAAAAAAACAACCAAAATTAAATAGATATATAAAAATATTAATTTTTTAATTAATTAATATGTGTTTTCTTATTGATATTTAACTTTTTAGTAGTAGTAGTAGTAGTAGTCATTAAATATTTTTTAATACGATCAATGGGTGCTTCAAACATAATATATGCCAAATAGCTAACAAATTGTGTCAATGCAAATATTTGTAAAAATATCAGGATCTATTAATATATATATATATGTGTGTTTTAAAATAATAAAATAAATTAATTATCACATATTAAGTCTAAAGATTATACTTACTAAATTAGTCTGGGTCATATAGATTATTTGCTGTGAACTATACATATAGACATAGATAACAAATACATGATAGAGATAGGATTGAAACGATAGTTTACTGAGTGGTTGTAATGCCTGGCACGACAATAGCCGATTGATTGGACCGCCATTACCTGTTGAACAGGCATACAATATATAGGCCCATACTATGGCCATCAGGGTATCATAGCATGAAACATGTAGTAGGGATATCATATAGTAGTAACTATTAGTTAAATAATAATCGTCATCCAAATAGTATGGCAAATAAATTATAATAAGCCATAGACTAATACTAGTCAGCCATAGTGTTATGTTAATTAACTTAAAAAAAATAATTAGTAAATTTTATTATAATTTAATTTAGTTATTAAATTTTATTGTTCATAAATATACCGGTTTTATTGTAATATTATTTCCATATTTTTTATATACATAAGCAGTTAGTATACCCACACAATAGGGACCCAAACGAGTTAAGGTTGAAAAATAGATTTTAGGAAAAAAATTTGGATCACTAGTCATGAAAATATTGTTTGTTTAATAATTTAAAAAAAATTTAAATATAATATAATCATTTTTTTTAAATAAAATAAATTTATACCTTTCTATTTTGGTGTAAATTGGTTGGAAATTATTGGATAATATTTTGTATGATATTAATAAACTGGAGCCAATAACTAATAAGACATTTACTATAACGCCAATTGTTTGTCTAATAAAATTTTTTTTTAAATAAAAATTATATTACAATATATTTATCTAATATTTTTGTAATAATAAAGTATTTCTAAAAATTATTAGTATATTTATTTTTTTTTAATAAATTTTGATTATTATTATTATTATTACCTAATATCATTATAAGTTAGTAGTAATATTAACAATGGTGATATGATAAACAATTGCATATCGACAGCCAATGACCATGTTTCACCTTGACACTTTCAATTTTTTTTGATTGATTAATTTTTAATAAAAATAAAATTAAAATATTTATAACAAATAATATACTGTATTATAACGATAAATGTTAAAATGTTAAAATATTAATATCATATTAACATAGCAAACATATTAACATTAGTGATTAAACTAATAATTAGTAAAAATTAATAAAAAAAAGAAGATTGTCTATAAATAAAACTAAATAATTAAAATATTATAAAATATTAATAATTTTTTTTAAAAAAATAAATAAATTACCATATTAAATACTGTTAGATCTTTATCGACTAATTGACTAATAGCTTGATTATTTTGCATATATAATAGATTAAACCACCAAAATTGATGGCAAGATTCATGCATTTTATCGACATATTGATACCATTGGGGACCCGAACCCACTAACTCGTAGACAATACGTACGCCAATGGCAGCCAATAGTGATAGAGTAAAACGTATGTATCGTTGAAACAATCGGCTAATAATACCGGTTATTGTTGGGGACTGTGTTGTTGTCGATAGAAAAGTCAATGCACACAGAAAACCGGATATCATTATAAATACATTTACAAACATAGGACCATGGTTAATAAATTTTATTAGATAACCATCCAAACTTTCCAAACGGTTACCTAATTAGATAATAATTTAAAATATAATAATAATTTAATACACATTTTTTATTATTTGAAAAACTAATTCTATATATCTATATATCTAACAATATAATCTATTAAAAAAATAAACATTAATATATATTGAAATATAATATTATTTTAATTAATTATTTAATTAATTAATTAATAATTACCAATGTTTGTTATTAGACCATAACAATGTATTAATATTACCATAGAGTTGCTTATTACTCGTAAACCATGCAAACAATTTAAATTATTTTTATTATTATTATTATTATTGTCTTTTAGGCTACTATTAGTAGTAGTAGTGGTGCTATTAAACAATTGTCGTGTATTTGAATACAATGAAAATGCTAGCAATATATTAATATATGGTAAAGTTGATGGTATAGATCCTTCAAAAAAAAATTAAATTAAAATAAATAAATAATTATTTTATAAAAAGTTTTACAATTATAGTATTAATAATTATGAATTATTGCTGAAATTTAAAATATTTTAATTAACTTTTAGATTTTTGAAATTAATTGTTATTTATTTATTTTTTTAAACACATAGTACTTATATAATAAATTATATTTATTTAATTATTATGATTTATTTACGATTTTGGTTATTATAGTTGTAAATTTCACAATAGGTACCAGCTGCTACTAGAAATATTATCAAGCTAAAACAGCAACTAAAAATAATCAAAATAATAATCTTATTATTATTTAATATAACTAATAATTTAATAATTTAAGTATTATTTTAATAATATTTTTTTTAAAAATAAATAATTACATTATCACTAGATGATACCACTTTAAATTGCCCACATTATTGTTACTACAATTGCCAATTGATAAATTTAATCCAGATTGTTTATAAACTGTTTATATATATATTTAAATTAATTAATAATATAAATTTATTTAACATAATAAATAAATAAATAAAATAATGATAAAAAACATTTTACAAGTTTCTAATATATTAGTCAAATCGTTATCATTGCAAACATTTGGTATACATATATCAAATGTTGAGGTAACAAATAATTCACTTAATTTTGATTTCTAAATAAAATTTTTAAAAATAAATAATTATTATTATTAAAATAAAATATATAAATAGATAAATTAATTATTAAAAAAATATAGTCAATTGCAATACCATTTCATTAGATAGATGATAGTCATTAGTAAAATAATCAAACGGTATGTTTAGTGTACAATACTGGCCATCAAAACGTATTGGAGTCCTATTCCGGCTAACAGTGTCGACCCTATGGTCTAAACATTGCCGATATTGACCCATAAGCTGATAGTTGCCGTTTATAATACCGTTTCCAAAACTAGCACTTGAATCTATTACTGTTTTGTAAAAATAAATTTATAATTAATTAATTATAAAATAAAAATAAATTAAAAAAAGTTTTCTGTTTGTTTAGTTCATTACATTTAATTGTTGTTATATCGTACGGATTGTCCAATAAATAGTCGCCAATTTGTTTGCATTTTGGGCTAACATTGCTTTCATTGATTGAATTCAACAATTGTGTCATTAAATAATTATTTTTGTAAATTAATTCATAAATTGATTGTCCATTTGTTGGATAATCATTAGAAATAATAATTAATAAATTAATTAATACACTTATGTTTAATAACTTTGTTAACATAGTTGATATTATTTAATTTATTTTTACTTAAAAATCTATTTTAATAAATTTGTTAAATAAAATTTTTAATAAAATATGAATAAAGAGAAAAAATATTGTAATAACTTAAATAATATATACAGTAGTATATATTAGAGAGAGAGAGAGAGAGAGAGAGAGAGAAAAGAGAAAAGAGAGAGAGAGAGATATTATTATTATTGAGAAATTATTTTTTACTTATAATTATTTTGTTTTATTAATCATAAGAATTTTTTTTAAAATTCGCATAATCATATTATTATTTCAATTAAATTAATGTTTTTTTAAATGATTGAAAATATTATAAATTTTATTTAAATAGAAACTAAAATATTTCACTAATTTTTTTTAAAATTTCTAATCAAATAAAATATAATATTAAATACGTTATCTTTAATTTGCTATTTGCAAATCATTATAGAAAATATTTTCAGCTTAATTAATGGTTAAAAATTTAAATAATTTAATATATATTATTATATTATTAATATATATACTTTTATAAAAATAAATAATAAAGTTAGTTTTATAATTAAAATTATTATTATTTTAAATAATCAAATCAATTATTAGATATTAATATTGATAAAAACTAATTAGTATAAACATATACAATATATTAATTATTTGTTTTCATTAACGTTAAAAAAATCTTATCAGTTATTTACAAAAATAATACATTTTATTAAATTAAAATAAAAAGTTTTAATTATATAATTAAATTAAAATAGTATTATCTTTTTTCTCTTAATTTTAACTCAAACTCAATTAATTATTTTCAACATTTATAAAAAATTTAGTTTTCAACAACAACAACAAAAATAATATTAATAATTAAGTTTATAATCTTTTAAAAAAAATCATAATAATATTTATTTTAAAAAAAATCATAATAATATTTATTTTTAAAAAAATCATAATCATTAAATTAATTTTTTCAAAAACAAAAAATCAAATTCAAAGTGTTTTTTTCATTTGATTTTTAATCAACAATTTTCTTGACACCAATAATAACCGGTTTGGTCAGCAATACTTCCGGATGCGGACGAAACTGGACGGGAACTGTTGTCCTGTCTACCCGATAAAACTGGTAACGTTGCAATATACGGGCCAAACCGATTTTGGCCTCTAACAGTGCAAACCGCATACCTATACAGTGTCGCGGACCGGCACCAAACGGCAAATAACTGTACGGTACGATTTGGTCACGATTTTCCGGCATAAACCGATCGGGTTTGTAGCCGTACGGATCGGGAAAATAGTTCGGGTCGTGATGTAACGGATAGACTGGTGTATCGACAATCATACCTTTGGGTATTGTGATACCAGTGTCGCCCAGTTTAACGTCGGCCATAGCCTGCCGGGGTATGACACCGGCTGTCGGATATTTGCGTATAGTTTCCGATACACAAGCGTCCAGATAGGGCAGTGCCATAAGCTTGTCGTAGTCGACAGTATTATCAGTCCCGCTGATAGCCTGACGACATTCCTGTCTCAATCGGCTCTGTATATCCGGTTGTAGGGCCAACTCGTATAGTGTATGAGCAACGGCTGCGGCCAACGACTCGAAATCGGCAAAGAAAAAGACAAAACATTGACTAAAAATTTCATCGTCGGTTAGCTGTGCTATAAACGACTTGTTTGTATCGGTTTTCAAATAGGATTCGTCACTATAGATGCCCAGTTGTAGTTGTTTTCGGTCCTCATTGTCCAACAACTCATCATCCATTACCTGTGCTGCACCGGTAGTAGCACTGGTAGTAGCACTAGTAGTAGTACTAGTAGTAGTAGTCGTTTCCGATTTAATATCGACCAAAATTTGCATCAAATCGTTACGCCGGACACCCGATTCCTGTCTGTCTCTTAAAATTTTCAACAAAAACTCATAGAAATACTTATCCGGTGTCTGGGCTTTCGTAAACCACAGGACTAGTTTGAATACCAGTCCCGATAGTGTGGGAAACAGTGTTAGCAAACACATCTGATAGGTAGGAAAGGCAATAATTCGATGGACATTCTGTAGGAACTGGTGATTCTGATCGCCATATATATCAATACGTGTACCGAAAGCAGCGCTGGCTATCATATCCAATGATAGGTCTTTCATTGTCAACCGGATGTCTATATCGGCACCCGATGGCAGCCGATCAACAGTTTTGTCCAATTGGGTCATAAATCTGGTACAACAGTCGTCCAATAGGCCGACCATTTGTTTGAGTTTACGTGTAGTAAATACCGGGTTCAGTATGTTTCGCATACGGCGCCACTCGTCGTCCCTTAAGTTGGGCAACATTTTCTCAAACAACGAGTTTATGCGGCGTTTAATTGGCCGCCGATTGCGAAACGAGTTGAAATCTTTGACCATATATTGTTTGATTAGTTCCGGATCCGATATAAGTAGTTCAGGTTTGTCAAAACGGTAGACACTGGTTTTTTTTTTGTTGTTGAATAATAATTTATTTTCTAATTTTTGTTGTGTTTTTAATTACCCGATTAGTGATCCATAGTTTTGATACCATTTGGTACTTTCGTAGACATAGGGCTTAATAAATGTAGTCAATATATTACCGAAATAGGGTAGCGGTGTTGGGCCAGGTATGCCCAAAGAGCTCCAGTAGCTGTACGTACGCTTCCATAATCTTTAATTTGAAGCACATGTACAGTTTTTTTTAAATAAAAATATTTATTTATTTTTTTAATATAATTGAATTAATCAAATAATTATAACTGTAAACTATAGTACTTGTAAAATTTAATGAATTTATTGTTTTAATAAAAATAAATAAATAAAAATATTTACTAAAATTTAATTTTAATTTTATAAATACTTACAAATAAAGATAAATTAATAGTGCCGATAAAAATGGCAAAATTATTGACCACCAATAAAACATAATAATAATATTATTATTTTTTTTTAAATATTTAATTATTATTTATTAAAAACTTTACTTTTAAAAAAATAACATTTACTATTAGTACTAACAGAAAACTAATAATAATGTCTATAAATTTTATAAAAGCAAAAACTAATACTTCAAATGATTAAACAATATTTATTAAATATATTATAAATATTCAATACTAATGATACAATGACTATATAATAAATACAACAAAAACATTTTTTTTTAAATTATAAATTTTAAGCAAATAATAAAATTTATAATATATAAAACTTTTTTAACCTTGGTTATTAACCTAATTTTTAATATATATATATATATATATATATATATATATATTTAAATAGTATGTGTACTGTAAGTAATTTGAATTTAAAATTTAAAAAAAATTAATTTGTGAGTACTATTTAAAATACAACAACAATATTAATACAATAAATTAATAGTTATTATATCAATAGTTATTGTATCTTGGTTGTAGTTATATTTTATTAATATAGTTTTTTTGTTGTTGTATAGATAACTATTTATAGATAAATTAAATTTTTTGACATATTTGTGTAGTAGTGTAAACATTAAAAACAAACAAAATAAAATAAATAAATATATATAATATTATTTAATTAATTTGATTTCTTTTTATTAATAATAATTGACTTTTTAGTAGTAGTTATTGTTGTCATTAAATATTTTTCAATGCGATTGAATGGGGATTCAAACATAATATATGCCAAATAGCTGACCAATTGTGTCAATACAAACATTTGTAAAAATAGCAGAATCTATTAAGATTTTTTTTTTAAAAAATAATAATAAAATTATAAAATTATCAGTATTAATAATTATTTATATATATATATATGTTACTATACTTACTAAATTAGTCTGGGTCATATAGATTGTCTGCTGTGAACTATATGTATAGACATAGATAACAAATACATGATAGATATAGGATTGAAACGATAGTTTACTGAGTGGTTGTAATGCCTGGCACGACAATAGCCGATTGATTGGACCGCCATTACCTGTTGAACAGGCATACAATATATAGGCCCATATTATGGCCATCAGTGTTTCACTGGTTGAACCATATAGTAGGCCAACCAAATAGTAGTAACTATTAGTTAAATAATAATCGTCATCCCAATGGTATGGCAGATACATTAATGTAAGCCATAGACTAATACTAGTTAGCCATAGTGTTATGTTAATTGACTAAAAAAAATAATATTTAAAAAAAATTATGATTAATTACTTTTTATTAATTTAATTTATATATATATATAACAATTAGTGATTTATTTTATTGTTCATAAATACCGGTTTTATAGTAATATTATTTCCGTATTTTTTATATACATAAGCTGTTAGTATACCCACACAATAGGGACCCAAACGAGTTAAGGTTGAAAAATAGATTTCATGATAAAAACTTTCATCACTTGTACAAACAAAATAAAAAATTAAAAAAAAAATATATTTAATTAATTGTGAATAATAATAATCGTTTAAAAATATAAATATGTAATATTCATAATTTTTTTAATTATTTTTTTCAAATAAATAAACATTTATTTTATACACATATGCTTTGGTGATAATCGGTGCCAAATTATAGGCTAAAATTTTGTATAATTGTAATAAACAGCTGACAATAACTAATAAGATATTTAATGTAACGCCAATTGTTTGTCTAAACAGAAACATAATTAAAAATAAATATTTTACATTATATTTATTTATCATAATTTTTTATATAATTTTTTTTAAATAATAAAAACTATTATTATTATTATTATTATTACCTAATATCATTATAAGTTAGTAGTAATATTAACAATGGTGATATGATAAACAATTGCATATCGACAGCCAATGACCATGTTTCACCTTGACACTTTAATTATTTTTGATTGATAAATTAAAAAAAAATTAAATTAAATTAAAATTAAAATATTTAACAAATATTATACTGTATTTTAATGATAAATATTAATGTTAAAATATTAATATCATATTAACATAATATTGATTAAACTAGTAATTAATAAAAATTAAAAAATAGAAAAAAGATTGTCTATAAAAAGCTATATAATTAAAATATTATAAAATATTTTTTTTTTGATTGATAAAATTAAAATATTTAACTAAGAATATATTTAATAG